TTTTGGAACATAAACTTGACATTAATAAGAATACAACGAATAAATCTGTTATAACTAACCATAGGCTCGATTTCAACCACGAATTTAAATGGAATGAAATAAAAATTCTTGATAAAGAAAATTTCCTCGAAAAAAGATTAATCTCCGAGATGATTTATATTAAAAGACAAACAAATTTGAACTTGCAAACGAACACAGAATATTTACCTGATACATATATAAACAGTATTGATAAACTACCGAAATTCTGAAAATAGATACACAAATATAATAAGTTAACACCGCTCATTTTCACCTTCTGATCACTTTGTCTGTGACATTGTAAGTGTGCGGATCTCAGGAATCGATGTTCCTCCTACACTACTGTTTTACGTTGCAATCTAATCATATGTAAGTCTATAAACATCTTCGTTTTCGTACAACCTATTAAGCTTAAATAAATCAATAACTATTTAATAACGTTATAGGATTCAAATCATTATGTGTCTATCGGGTCTAATAATTGAAGTGGAAACACAATTTACGCGAATTTTAATCATCACATTATGACTATGTTGGAAGAATATCGCTTTTCATTTTTACATCATGTTCTCTTTTTCTCTTACCATAATATTTGTTAATCATTATATCTATTATTGTATTTTTAATGCGTTACATACTCTATGACGTTTTTGATTATGCTTGATGTATATGTTACCGTTATGACTCCGTTTATTATTAAGAATTTAATCAGCATTGATAATGGTCAAAATATTGACCGAAACGTTCGCTTTGTATTTGTATTTAAAGAGTATGGTACTTATGTTTAATTCTTTTTGTCACCTTTTATTGTAATTCATTATTAGACATTAGATTAAAAAATATTATTTTTATTAATGACTTCACTTTTAAACATAATTTGAATTTTTATATTTACTGCTTTTAACAGCCTTTTATCAAATTTATTCTAATTTTTTTTGTTAGAATTAAATATCTGTGCACAAGGCACCAAATTTTACTTGGTCACGGCCAAGATTTTAAAATTGGAATAATCTCTACAAGAGATTTAATTCCATACATCCCCTGTTCCCCCCTAAGGAAATAAATGCGAGAGAAAAATATAGATCCGAAAGTTGCTGAATCGAAATCGAACCCGATGTCACGGCCAAGATTTTTAAATTGGAATAATCTCTACAAGAGATTTAATTCCATACATCCCCTGTTCCCTCCTAAGGAAATAAATGCGAGAGAAAAATATAGATCCGAAAGTTGCTGAATCGAAATCGAACCCGATTCAGCGACTTTCGGATCTATATTTTTCTCTCACATTTATTTCCTTAGGGGGAAACAGGGGATGTATGGAATTAAATCTCTTGTAGAGATTATTCCAATTTTAAAATCTTGGCCGTTACCAAGTAAAATTTGGTGCCTTGTGCACAGATATTTAATTTTAACGAAAAAATTTAGTTTTGTTGGGATAACGCACTGTCATTCGCGATTTGGCTCTTATTGCCTGTCTTATACTTTAAATTTATATTTATTTATACTTTATTTTTATTTTAAAAATAATTTTTTATTATAAAAAGATGTTCTCTCATATAATATAAAGATGTTGACATATTTGTACATTATTTTCTTTGGTTTTAATGTACTTCTAATAAATCATATAAAAATAAAACAGCGTTTTTAATAAATATCTTGATCACAACCAATATCACATGAGAAAAAACTTATAGATACTTAACGATAACCTTAACTTTGTGACAACCCCTTAATGGTCGTCACTGATTATGCCGAGCCGGACATCTGCCCGACGCGCCGAGCCGACCATTTGCCGGTCGCGTGATTCATCCTCTCCGAGGGGATGCCCGCTACGCGCAAAGGAGCGCGTGGAGGGACCCGCGCTAGTATATAAGCCGGCTCGTCCGAAGAGCCGGCACCAGTCCTGTCCCGAATCCTGATCCTAGCACCAGGCCTTTGGGTGTCCCCGAGGTCTCTTAGACTAGATTCCCGACAGTCGACGAAGACGGGAGTACTCTCTTCGGAGCCTGGGAGTTCCCGGCGTTCGACTTTCCTCTCTGCGACCGACGAAGGTGGTTGTAACCCTTTCGCTGCCTGGGAGTACCCGGCGTTCGGTTTTCTTTTCCGCGACCGACGGAGATGGGTTTAACCCCTTCGCTGCCTGGAAGTGCCCGGCATTCGGTCTCCTGTGTCCGGCCGACGGAGGTGGGTTTGACCCCTCCGCTGCCTGGGGGTACCCGGCATTCGGCTCCTTTTCTCCGGTCGGCAGAGGTGGGCGTGCCCCCTCTGACGCTAGGGTATACCCGGCATCCGACTCTCCCGCAGCGCGCCGCGCCGCCGCCCGCGACCCCGCGACCGCGAGATCGTTCGTCCGTCCGCGCGTTAGATATAAGCCAGTGTGACCGTCCGCTAGGCTAAATGTGTATATAGTGTAAATAATCATTGAATAAACCATTTGTAACTTTGAAACCGTGTACGCAAGTTTGGCCTTCCGATTCCGAATCCTGGTTCCGGTGATCCGTCCGAGGCTAACCGAATTCCGTACCGTTACAACTTAAAGATAAACCTATAAACTAGATATCTCTCTCTCTCTTTATATATGTACAATATTATATAAAAGTATAAAGTTTTCTATAATTGTTAATTTATAACGCTCAACATTACAGGCGCAATCTTTTAATATAATTGTACCTTATAATAAATGTATTTTCAGAACATATTTTTTTAAAAATAAAATTATATAATTAAAAATAAAAATAAATCATTTGTGATATTAAAAAAAATAGCGAATTTACTTTTAATACGGAAAATAATTTCGGAAATTTGACCGAATATAATTTATAAGAAATCAAGGAATTCAAATTTCCTTTGCCTATCAGCTTGCTCGTTATATATAAATGAACGAAGTTTCGGTAACGTATACAGGTTTAAATTGTCAAGTATATCCTTTTAATTTACAAAGAGTAAAGAAAAAATTGACAAGAATAACAAGTATCTATATATATAAGCACCGTCTGTCTGTCTGTTTGTTTGTCTGTACCCGAACTACTACCGCATTTGTGGACCGATTTTCGTGAAACTGGTACCAAAATGTTGCAAATTTTTCGGGGGTGGCTGCTGTGGGGTTTTTTTTAATTTTTTTTTCCTCAGAGGAGGGTATGTTTTTGCAAAAAATATCTTTTTTTCAAATTGGTACCAAAATGTTGCAAATTTTTCGGGAGTGGCTGCTGTGTGGTTTTTTCAAGTTTCTATCCACCCACGCACACCCACCTACGCACTTACACATTTATTGGCAGATTTTCACGAAATTGGTACCAAAATTTCGTAAATTTTTGGGGATGACTACTAGGAGTAGTAATACTAGGCCGGTTCTAGACCAGGGGCAATGAGGGGGGTGAGGGGCGGGGGGATTTTCGGTGGTGAGGGGGGGTGACGTCACGCGGGGGAGGGGGTCTTATCAGCAGATTAGCTTATCTTATCAGCTCAGGTTATCTGATAAGGGGCTCATATTACCTGATAAGGGGCTCATGTTACCTGACATGTTTATAAACAAAAGATAAACATTCCAGCGATATCTATTACAAGATAAGATAAACATTCCAGCGATATCTATTACAAAATAAGATAAACATTCCAGCGATATCTATTACAAGATAAGATAAGCTAAGTTTTCATAAACAAGATAAAATAAACATTCCAGCAATATCTATTACAAACAAGATAAGATAAACATTCTAGCGATATCTATTGATAAGATAAAAATTCTGCGAAGGGTTGCCGCATGAATCCAAATCCAGGTTTGGGTCGAACGCCGACAATTAGATATTTATCACAGCGATAAGATAAGGTAAAAATTCTGCAAAGGGCTGCCGCCGATTCAGACTGAGCGCCGACATTCAGATATCTATTACTAAGGGGGTTGCGTTTCGTCATCTAAATTTTCTCTGAAGATAAGATAAGGTTCTGAGTAATCAAATTCTAAGAACAAAAGGGCTGCCGCAGAATCCAGGCTTGGATCGAGCGCCGACAGGTTGATACATACATTTCTAAGAAATATCAGCGGGGGCGAACGCGTTGCGACATGTCAATCCAGGTTGTGACGTGTCAATCCGATCCGACTCGGATAATATTTCTATCGGCGGGTAGGTTAACAATTGCATCATCGCACGTTAAAGAACAAAGGGATGATCGGGATATATAATGAGGACCGATGCAGGCCATAGTACCACTGGCGAGCGCACGCTTTCTTCATTCGGGGTGCAAGAAAAAAAAGTTTAGTGTGCAATCAAAGTAGTTATTTCTGTGCAGTACAAGTGAATTTTTACAAAAAAATGGAAAACGTTAAGCGCGACCTGTTGGAGCGTTCCCGCCAAGTCGCCACCTTGGGCGAATATTTCGGATGGTTACAAGAATGTGAAGAATTTATCGAAGATCTGGAAGAACCCAGCCGTGTCAAGCGTCCGCGTCTCTCGATTGGACATAGGCAATCTCTGGTGGCGAGAATAGCGCGACTCGAAGGTGCAAAGGTGCACTTGCAGAGACGGTATGTCGGTGAATCCATACCTAGTGGCGGCGGATTTAGTGATGGCGGCAATAACGTGCAAAGACTCGTTTGGCGCGAAATCGATACGGCGTTTGATAGCCGTATACTGACCGGTGCGGTAATTAACGCAGACTATATCGAACTGCGTCAATTTTTGGAAAATGCCGCAGATATTGTAGTCGAGAACGTGGAGAATGTGCTGCAGAGACACATCAGTGTAAAAGTGAACACTGTTTTCAACGGCGAATTTGTGTCCGGTGACAAGCGCGCCAATAAAAGTATCAACGCGAGAAACTTTGAACTCTTTCGCACGTCTGATGTACGCGAGTGGTACGAGCGCCGCGTAATCGAACCCACGCTAGCATCGTTAGAAGAATTCCAAGAACGTGATAGCGGCTGGGCATTGTCACGGATAATAGATTTGACAGTAAATGTAAATACATAAAAGTACAATCCAATGCGCGCGGGGTGCCACGTCAAATTACCGCCAAAAATTGTGACAAAGAAAGCGGTTGTTAATGTGCGATCAGCGGACAATGCGTGTTTCGCATGGTCAGTGGTGGCCGCTCTGTACCCCGCTGATATACATGTGGATCGGGAATCCTCTTATCCGCATTACATCACAGTGCTGAATCTCCAAGACATTGAGTTTCCAGTGACTGTTAATCAAATTAAAAAATTCGAACTTGCAAACGACATCTCCGTAAACGTGTACATCATCGAGAACAAGAACATCGTCCCGCTACGTCTTTCGGGAAAAAAGAAGGACAGACACGTCAATTTGCTGTACGTGGAGGACGAACACGGGCATTTCGCGTGTATAAAAAATCTGTCTCGCCTCGTGAACTCGCAACTAAGCAAAAAAGCTCATAAAAAATTATATGCGATCGGTAAGTATATATATTTATTAAACTTAAATTATATTTAAAAAATGATTTTAATTAAAATGTTTAATATTTACAGATGTTTACACTATTTCGGAGCGGCGGATAAATTGCAGGCGCATACAGAAGATTGCGGGAAACTGAACGACTGTGCTATTCGGTTGCCGAGCGAGAATGACAAGTGGCTCAGCTTCGACAATTACACGAGGAAAGAACGGCTTCCATTCATCATGTACGCCGATCTGGAGTGTGTTTTGGCAAAGACCAAAGATGCCAAAAATTATCAACACCATCAAGTATTCAGCATCGCGTATTACGTACAGTGTTCGTATGACAGTTTGTTGTCCGCATACAATTCCCGCCGTAGTGTTGATTGCGTTGCATGATTCGCCGAACAGCTTAAAAATTTAGCAATCCGCGTAAAAATATTTTAACAATCAATGTCCCCATGATAAATTTAACGCCTGACGAGTGGGCAAAATTTCGCACCGCGACACATTGTCACATTTGTGAGAAACCGTTTGACGAAGACGATACACGCGTTCGCGATCATTGTCACCTCACCGGGCGGTACAGAGGCCCCGCGCACTTAAATTGTAACTTGAATTACAAAGAATCATTTTGTATTCCTATAGTTTTTCACAATCTGTCCGGCTACGACGCGCATTTCATTATCGAGGACATAGCCACAGCGTTTGAAGGGGAAATTAAATTACTGCCAATAACAAAGGAAAAATATATATCATTCTCGAAAATTGTTAGATTGACGCAAGAAAACAATGCGAAAAATTATATCAAATTACGCTTTATCGATTCATACAAGTTTCTCAGTGCTAGTCTTGACAAATTAGCGTCATTTTTGGATAAAGAAAAACTAAAAATTTTACATTCGGAATATCAAAATTTAATTAGTGAAAAATTCAATTTATTGACACGGATGGGCGTCTTTCCGTATGAATACATAGACTGCGTGGACAGATTACAAGACACATGTTTACCGCCGCGCGACTCATTTTACAGTTCCCTAACCGGCGACACAGTATCCGAGAGTGATTACGCGCACACCGAGACCGTCTGGAACCGATTCTCCCTTCGAACGCTAGGTGAATATAGCGATTTATATTTAAAAATTGATGTCTTGTTATTGGCCGATATATTTGAAAATTTTCGCGACAGTTGTATAAAAAGTTATGGACTCGATCCCACGTATTATTATACCCTCCCCGGATATACATGGGACGCCATGTTAAAACATACGAATATAAAATTTGAATTATTAACAGACATTGACATGGTAATGTTTGTCGAACGAAGTATACGCGGCGGCCTTTGTCAATGTTCAGGTCGATACGCACAGGCTAATAACAAGTACATGCAATCGTATGACCCATCGAAACCCTCATCTTATCTCATGTATTTCGATGTAAATAATTTGTACGGATGGGCAATGTGTCAACCATTGCCGTATGCCGATTTTCGGTGAGTCGACGATGTATCGAATTTTGATGTATCATCTATCGCGTGCGATTCGCCTATAGGCTATGTTCTCGAAGTAGATTTAGAGTATCCGCAGCATCTTCATGACGCACACATTGACCTACCGTTTTGCCCAACGCGCGATAAGCCACCCGGCAAGCGGGAGTATAAACTCCTCGCAACGCTTTACGATAAGAAGCGCTATGTAATACACTATCGTAATCTACAGCAGTGCACGCGCCACGGGCTTCGCATAACAAAAATATACCGCATACTACAATTCACGCAGTCAGCGTGGCTTCAAAAATACATCGAACTCAATACACAGTTTAGAACACAAGCGAAAAACGATTTTGAAAAAAATTTATATAAATTGATGAATAATGCGGTATTCGGCAAGACGATGGAAAATGTACGCAATTATGTGGATGTAAAATTATTAACAAAATGGGACAGACGGTACGGTGCGGAGGCAATGATCGCGAAACCAAATTTTCATAGTACAAGCATATTTTCGGAAAAATAGTTGCCATAGAATTACGCAAACTCGCAAGTTAAATTTTACAAACCAATCTACGTCGGCATGTGCATACTCGACATATCTAAAGTATGTCTTATGAATTTTACCACGAATACATGTCACCGCTCTATCGTGACAATTGTAGAGTAATGTACACCGACACGGACAGTTTAATATATCAAATTAATGCCAGGATGTCTATGAAAATTTGAAACGCGACATCGCTCGATTCGATACCAGCGATTACACCGCGAATAATGCGTACGGTATACCGCTCGCGAATAAAAAGGTGCCGGGTCTGATGAAAGATGAGAATAACGGTGCGATAATGACCGAATTCGTCGGGCTTAGAGCAAAAATGTATGCTTTGCGGGTGGACGGTAAAAAGGACACTAAAAAGGCAAAAGGTGTCAAAAGTAACGTTGTAGCACGTAGTATAACAGTCGACGATTATACGCGTTGGCTTAATGACGAAATTGAAATGACGCGTCAGCAGTCGTGTATAAGATCGAAATTGCATAAAGTGTATACCATCAGCGAGACAAAATTGCTCTAAGTCCCTACGACGACAA